AACCTTGTCCTGGTTCTTTTTGGTAAGTGCTGTTATTTGACGTTGCTTGGCTCCCGCTAACTTTTCTGAAGGACCTCGCTTTCTATGGTCTTGGCCTTAATAACACCTTTGTCCTTCAAGCAGTGGGCTATGGTGCTGGTAACTCCCTTTTCGAAAAGCTTCACAACCAAGCTGTTGGAATGATCATTTTGACATGCGCTGGATCACTCCCTGGCTACTGGACTGCCATTCTCAGCGTCGACACCTTTGGTCGCAAGCCGCTGCAGGTTTTCGGATTTCTTCTACTCACTATTATCTTCTGTATCCTCGGGTTTGCTTACAAGAGCCTCTCACAGGGAGGGTTGCTTGCGCTCTACATTGTGGGCCAGTTTCTCTTCAATGCTGGCCCTAACACGACCACCTTCATCGTTCCTGGCGAATGTTTCCCTACCCGATATCGATCGACCGGTCACGGCATCTCGGCCGCCATGGGCAAAATAGGGGCAATCATTGCGCAGGGCATCAGCATCCCTATGGTGCGACATGGATCACCCGAGGGCTGTAAGGGCACCGATTGCTCACCCAACATGGACCGACTGCTCCAACTCTTTGCCCTTTTCATGTTGTTTGGTACTCTGGTTTCCTTATTGATCCCCGAGACCAAGGGCATGACCTTGGAGGAGCTTTCTGGAGAACCCCGCACAAGCTACAATTCTGGATGCAATGGTAGTATCAGTCTTGGGTCGCCAAAGCTCAGGGCTTGGAACCCTTTTGTCGGTGGTCAACCCGCAGGATTCTCGTATCCTAGATCCAGAATAAGTCACTTCCGAAAGAATGACCGCGTTGGCATCATGACATCGCCAGAGCTCATGGCTGAGACGTCTCGGCTTCGGAAACCTCGGATCTGGAGAAGACACCGCAAGGCCAAGTCGAGCAGCGGTACAGATATCGCTTTGAGCACTCGAAGCTCTGGTACAGGAGAGGATGAAATCTTCCCCGCAGGCCCCCCTGCATCTTCATCTACTCCTCCACAGCCACCGCCGACTTGGGGGGCTGGCTGGGGACGGATAGATAGAGGAGGACCCCCTCCGCTGCTGAACTCAGTCCAGCTGCAGGATGTTGGCAGTCTCTTGACGAAATGATCTGGATTGACAAAATCGGTGTTGTTAGCATGATTCGCATATCTCTGGCGTTGGTGGAATAATGAAATTTAGACTATGATACCTTAGATGTTTGTTTTGCATAGTTGTCGAGTTGAACATCGACATCTGGAGGCTTAGGAGCAGAAGTGCTTCGCAACTTGTACGAATGAATAACGAATACAAAGAATCCCCAATTTATGAGTTGCAGACTTTGGCAATCCAACTGAGTGCATATGATGATTGTGAAACTTCTAAAGCGTATGATAGCGTGCTGGTCAATTGCCAACCAAACTACGAGAATTCCAATGAAAACGGCAACTGGCACTTCATGCTAGCAAGGCTGATGCTCGAATTCGCAGTCTATTGTTACAACTTCTTACAAGAGGCTGCAACTATCAAACCATCTATGAGAACCTCAATACTATCCCAATTCTCTCAAAGTCTAACATCGCGGTCTATGCCCCTGGAGTCCTTCTCAAACATAATGAAAGACCGATGATTTTGTCTCGTCTACCAAAAGATCATCCACGGAGAACCTTGAGCGCTTCTTTCAGGTTTACCACATCACGAGTCAGCTTCTCACGGCGATCACGGCTGAGCATGTCTTCGCCGGCAATAGCTTCGAGTTGCTCAGGTGTCATGTGAAACACAACTTGGTCAGACAGAACAGTGAGAGGGCCGTCGGTATCGTCGAGGAGAAAGAAATCGATGACTTGTCGGCAGACAACGTCGACAAATCGACTGCGGGCGATGTCGTAGTAGGTCAGAAGAACATCGTGAATGTCCTGGCAGATGGTGGCTAGGTTTGTAGGCTTGGGTCTACCCTCGACAGCGTCACGAACGTACTTGGCAACCTCGATATCTGTTTCGTAAGATTGTTGCAAGGCAGTTTTTGTAGTCTTCTCAACCAGCTCGCCCAAATCTTCTCCCTTGGATCTGTTCTCAGCTAGATTGTTGCCAAAAGAGGGGTTGTAGGTGATACTGCGACCTTCGAACTCGACCTTCAAGAGGAATTCGGTGTGGTTGACGGCACGCTTGTACCGGGTCTGCAGGTCATCGACGAGGAAATTCCAGAGCTCATCACGGATAGCCGGGTCGGGACAGCAGTTGTCAAGGACGTTGCTGATGAAGTGGTGCACAATGAGAATGGCATTGGCAATGTGGGCTCGGGCCATGCCAGACCACTTCTTGGATTGCTCCTTGAAGTTCTTGGGTAGCATCTCACCACCGAACTAAGAGATACGTCAGGACATCCATCCAAGCAAGCGCCAGGAAAAGACAATACTTACAGTGCCGAGTTCATAAGCACGGGAAGAAAGCCACTCCCTCTCGATATACTGCATGATATCCTCTTCGTTCGGCTCCGGCCACTCGAACGCATCATGAAGAACCCCATCCTCCAGCTCTTGCTCCCCCAACTTGGGGATGTCAAAAGAGATCCCGCGGCGGTACAGACCACAACGTTCGTCGGTAGACTCGACCTTTGCTTCTTCTGAGGCCTCATCTTCCTCGCTAGGGGTTGAGGCCACCTCTTTGTCGCCAGGACGATGGAACTTTCGTGTCTCGCCCCAGTCATAGACGGACTTTGCGAACTCCTCATTGATTTCGCGAATTCGGGTGATGAGCTTTAGATCTGTGCCAGCGTCGAAGAGATTTTCGCGGCTGTACTGCCCATCAAGACCACAGTGCTTGATACGAGTGAACTGAGCAGCAATCTGTCCAATATAGATACGTTGCTGTTCAGTAGTGCTGCGTGACTGACCCATATCTTTGAGAAGTGTTTCCGTTTCTTTGAGAATAGTCGCAAGGTCTCCACGAACCTTGGGGAACTCGCTCTTGGTTCGGTCCATGAGAAGCTGTTGGACACGGACCTTGAGAGCCGGGATACCGAGTCGGTCAGGGGATAGCTTAGTCCAGGGGGCTTTAGAGAAGAACTCCTTTTCAGCGCGAGTTCGCTCCTCAGCACTGGAAGAACTATCATCTGCACTCCGGTTCTTCACAACGCAGTATCCAAGCTGAAGATCACGTCGCTTTCCACGAACAAGGTCAACAACAACAGCCTTCATAGCTTCTTCGACAGCCAAGTCAGGCTTGGTGAGGACACCGAGAGTTCGCTTACCCTCAGGGTCAACTTCCTTTGCGAGGGTGAGAATCTTCTGGTTCGCAATGTCGCCGTTACAAGGGACGACAGCGAGGATGATGGTGCGTGACTCTTGGATGTACTTTTGCACCATGTTCTTCACGAGCTGAATGTCTTCCTTTGTGGTAACGCCAGGAGTGACGTACTCAAACATTCCGGGAACATCGATGACAGTCAAGTGATCCTCGTTTGGGCCGCTGATCTCGACGCGCAGAACATCGCGACTGAAAGCAGAGCCAGTAGAGCCATCATCAGACTCCGACTTGATGCCCATCACCTTAGCAGCCTATCAAGACTATGTTAGAGGAGGCGATATGAGTCCAGAGACTATAATACTGACATCTTGGAAGATCTGAGCAAACTCATCGGCATCGAGGTTAGTCGCAGTACGATGAAAGGACTTTGCTTGTTCCTCATCTGCATCAACGGCATGAATAGAGACAACAATGCTTTCTGTTTCCTCACGACGACAGATAATCTCCGTGGCATGGCGAGTGCAGAGAGTCACTGAGCGAGGAAAATGAAAACCAGTGAGAGACTCGAGGACACTGGACTTTCCAGCGCTCTGGTCACCAACAACAACCATCTATATAAACGTTAGCCGAGAGAGTCTGGTGTAAGGTGACATGCAAGACATACCTGAGGGAGAGGCACCATATTGGATATGCCTAGCTCTCGCAGCTTGTCCATCTTGTCCAAGAGGGCTCGATTACCGAGCCCTTGCTCGGACTTGACTTTCTTTGCGGTAGTCATCTTGACAAGACGAAGTTCTTTGCCAGAGGCTATATTGTGTGTCGCTTAGCCTGTTGAGGTTGCGTGGGATGAGGAGAGGTATATCGATCACCGTGTAGATTTAGCGATGAAGAAAAAGAAAAAAGGAAAATGAAACAGGGGAGGGACAAGAATTTATACCTTGGCTGCGAAATTCCTGTTCGAGGCCTGTGTATCACTCACAGGTAGAAACCCAAGGATTATCGGGTGCTTGCAGTGGCCGTCACCTCACTAGAGGCCCTACACCAAGGCCCAGCTATCTTAGCGCTTCTATTTGTTACAGTTGCAAATGTAGAAGCTATGTTGCCTGTGCCTTGTCCATGGCATTGAATGTGATGGCTTAATCTGTGGCCTTGATACTAGGCATGAGTGAATGAACTGGAAGCGGGATGCTGCATTCACCGAAACATCAGCCCAAATTGATGTGTGAAATTGAACCTATTGAAACTCAAATTCTGCCTTGCAGGCACCTATCAAATTTGATCTTCAAAAAAAGCTATCTTCTTTTATGTGGTGGTCGGCCTCCGACAGCTGCGCCCTGCTACTGTCGTGGAGTTTCATCTCCAGAAACCGGCGGATATTCCCCTTTATGTTGTCTCTTTTCTCAGGCTGTTGGTTGACCCCTGCAAAACGTCGGCCAACTGCCATAGCTAGCAGGGCTGGCGTGATGTGATCTTGAGAGACACATACAAATTCTTTCCTATAAAGGATAACTCCGGGCAGATGAGCACCCTTGAAATGCGCAGACCCTGGAAAAGTCCACCCCGGCCATTTATACCGGCCTGTTGGCCACGGCCACGGCCACGAAGGCAGCCACAACAATGGCAGAACACCAAAGACATCTGAATCGAGACTGAGACTCAATATAACGTTCATTCATTCCATTAATTCATGCTGGGGTATCTCGCTAACTAAATAAAAACGCCTATCCTTTTCCCAATCCTGTATATATCTGTATATATAACCAATCACCACAGAGAAACAAACTCCGTAACAGGCATACCGCAAGATGCGAGATCCTGCCTCTTCATATACCAAGCCTCAAACAAGGCCATCTCCACAGCCCCAGGAGCCTCTGTCAAGTTCGACAGCACAGGCCCAACAGTTTTGGGCTCCAAGGCAGGGTCCAAGACACCGCGGGGAGATACACATCGAGATGGAGGCTGCAAGGCAGACTCCAGAGTATGGACAAATCGCTCGGCGAGCGGGTGTGTTGAAGTTGTGTATTGCTTGGCTGTCGCGAGGCATCGTGTGGCTTCCTCGGTCACAGGGGCAGGGTTGGTGATTATGTCTCTGAAGAGAGGATGTTGGACCAAGACGGTGAGGGTCATGCCAATTATGCTAAGGGCTGATGAAAATTAGAACAAATATCGCAGTAGAAAGATGCCTTGACTTACCAATAGCAGAATGACTGTCAGGAGGGCCGTCAAAAGTCACCAATCTCCTCTCGCGAGCCATGATATCTTCTAGCTCCACGCTTGCAGCATAGCACGATTCGAATAGTCCTGCGAGCATCGATTTTGCCATTTTTGAAGTTGGTTGTGTTACATTGCTGCTGATGAGCTTCATGATAGCTACTCGGGGAATCAAAGCCTTGGTCTCAAGATATCTATCATTTGTTAGCTTATGCTGTCTCGACATGTAGTTCATCAACATACCTCATACGCAACAACGTTGCTTGGCGGCGGAAAATAGCCTCGGGTTGTGTGCAGGGGAACTTGACGCGCAGATGCTCAGGGATAGCAGCATGCCACTCTTCCAAATCGCAGTCCCGCTTCAGTGCATCGGATAGAACATCAGAAACCGATTCTTTACCAGAATCTGTTTTGTGGCTGAGAGAATCTTGAATAGGCTGGAGAATATCGTCGTACAGTTTCAAAGTTTGGTTGAAGAAAGAAAGTCGTGAAAGGGTATCGCAAGGTTGAGCTCGGTCGGGGTTGTGAGGGAAAGCCTCAAGATATTCGTCGTCGATTCCCTGGGGAAATGTGCCAAATTTTGGGTTTGTCTGGCTTCCAGGGGAATTCTGCATCCTGACAAGCAGAGCACAAGCACACCATGTCCTTCTCCGTTCCTCGCGTTCAGCCTGAGCCTTTCCTGGGAGATCGATATGGAGCATAAGACCTTCTGCGAGTCGAAGGGCCATGCCAGTCAGCATCCAACTCTCCTGGACCGTACCCGCTCGTCGCAAGAATCTGGCATGAACAATCAAAGCCTGTACCACAGGAAGAGATGATACGGATAAAAGGTCGACGAGGAGAAGAGTCTTGGCTTGCTGGTGAAATTCGAAGGCGTGAGATACGTGTAACTCGGCGGATTCTGTGATCGAGGTTTTGGCAAGTTGGCCAATGGCTAGCATTCCTAAAAGGAGAGAGTAGGTGGCTGCGAGTTCGGTGGCTTCCTCGAGTGGGATATCACGGCGGTAACGAGAGTTTGCAACTGCGATGAGACGGTGATATCGTTGGTAGAACGATGGTCGATGGATAACAGGCATGGTGATCCAGTCAATGTTGAAATACTCTGCTAACAACTCGTCCATGAGGTCTGCTGGTGGAAGGGTGATTTTCTGGAGCATCAAAGCGGCCTTGACGTTGGAAGAATAGGAGCCGAAAGATGAAGGTTTGGCTGGAGCAGCATCTTCGAGATCATCGGTTAATGGTGGACTAGCACCCATGAGATGATGCGGGCGAGAGTAGTAGCTGGCTGGTTCGTGAACTACAGGTAGTGAACCAGCTCTGGAAGAGAAACTGGGTAGAGAGTAGCCAGAGTCAGTGTGGATTGGAGGAAGAGCATGATCAACATGTCTTGGAGGTCTTGCTATACGCTCAGACACAACACTGGGTGAGGTGGATAGTTTTCTCCATTCTTCTTGAGCAGGCGTCGTAGCGACGAAAGCATTGTGGCCATGAGCTACTAATTCCTAGAGGGCGTGTGAGTGATAGTCCTGGGCGTAGGGAATATGAGCAAGGTACTTGTTATAAAAAGACTTACTAGCTGCTTCTCCTTCTCTTCAAGTTCCTGGACTCGCTTCTGGAGAGCACGGATGTAGCTATCATTGAGTTTAGTATCTTATCTATGTGATCTGACGATGAGAGAGAGAGAGAGAGAGACTCACCTCCGCGACGAAGCGATGGAACCTTCATGCTCAATCTCAGGGTAAACACACTGATCAGCACAGAGACCGCGTCTGGAACACGAATCGCAGACAGGTCGTGCACCGTCACAGCGAATTTTACGATCGCGACACTGTCGACAAGCCAAAGACCTCGCCTTTCCCGGTCTGGCAGAGGCAGTAGTTGCGTGTTGTCGGCGGGCGGCCGAAGCGGAAGCCGGTGGCCCGGGAGATGAAGCCTTTGACTTTGCCATGACTGAAACTCTGTGTGTCCTCGGGTCGTCGGTCTCTTCTCCCTTTTTGATTTTGGAGGTTGAAGCGACGGGGAGATTGACAGATGCGGGTCGTCAAATTGATGTCCTTTAGATAGGGAAGAAGGGAACGAAAACGAAAAACTCGTTCGTGACTCGTTCACCCCTTGACCATGAATGCGCTCTAAGACGGCCGCCGGGGTGGCCAATCTCTCGCGGTCACGGTTGTCGGTAGTCGCCGAGTGGTTCCAGGCTGCAAGTGGAGATTTCTGATCCCGGGTGTCGGGACGTCGGGGTATCATCACTGCACCGTAATATACAGCATGGCATGATAAACTGATGCAATACAGACTCAAAACACTCTGACCTCACTCTTCTACAGTCTCCATAACTAATTGCTCTGTCCTTCATGCATTCCCCAGATAAAGAAAGGGTCTCGATGAGGGTTTCTTGGGCATGTCCCCCAAAATTATATGGAGACGGGCGGATCATCGGCCATCGGTCATCGGCTACATTCATTGGCGTTGATGGTCATCGGATCCATCAAGGGCCTCGACAACTCCCCGACCTCCCCGACATCCAGAACAAGGGTCAACGACATGGCCTAATTACGTACATACAACAGAATCAGACAATTCATCATGTTCGCTTCGACAGCCGGAACTTACAAACCGACTCGTTAACAAACTTTGATATTTACTCGAGTTTGAGACTTAAGAATACTTGTCCTCGTCAGGTCTGAGACCCTGACCATCAGTAACACAGTCTATCACCCCATTTGTCTCATTCTCTCAACTCCCCGCGATAACACACACGATCATTCTTCACTCTCGGTCCGTCGCGCGGCCTCTTCCCTCCGACTTCCGCCACTAACTAACCGCCGTCGATTCCACCCACGCCAAGCGTCGGTCGAGACTTGCACGAGCTCCCCGTGACCCAGTGACGCCACTGAAAATCTCGTCCTCTCCTTCATTCCCGTCTTTTGTCCGGCGTATCAAGAGCATGTCACCGAGAGCCCGTCATAGGCGAGCCCATCAACACCACAACGACGAGCTGATAGCATACTCCAGTACAATGGCTTGTCAACATGTAGTCATACCCTTCAAGTTATCAACTATTACATGTCTCCGGGTATGATAAACAAGGTACCTGACCTACGAACCATCTCCTAGGTACTCGTTGTGCTCAAAAAAACGGGTAGAGCTGTTATTGTCAGCCTCAAGTTGAAAGAATAGCCTCGCCGCTAAAACCTCTAGAAGTGACTAAGACCTCCTCTGCAGCATATTTATACAAGGTCTGCAACATATCCGGAAGACAAAACCTCATGCTCTGAATATGAAATCCTCAGCAACGACTTCAAATTCATATATTGTCTCCAGCTGGATTTTCTCCCCTGTAGTTGGTTACTAGCATGTATTTCAAGTTATCCTCTCAGCACAGGACGAAACATATAATACTGTAAAAGCATTAATTGAATTACATAAAAAAATCACTCAAAGACATTTACTCCCAACGATCTTACCATAATCGGTATACATTACCCTTCACGGCCATAGCGTTTGCAAGTCGAAGACAAGTACTGGAAGAGCCTCCTAAAGATAAAAAGGAAACAACCTTAGGTTATCCTATAGGCCGGTGCCTCTAATAGGCCTTGGGTAGACAGTATTGATAAGGGCCCGGCAATGGGGAGCTCTCATACCACTGAGGCTTCTGGCGTTGAAATATGGCATTAAAATTGAATGGTCTAAAGTTTTACTAATATATAGCAGATCTAACTAACCAACGCACTTTTATCACTTAGGATAAATGCCCCAAGTTGGGGTGCTTCCCCTAGCCGTCTAGATTTCTTCGCATCACCATCATCTGTTTCTTCTGGTTTCTTATAGAATATTAGCCATACTCACCTGTTACATTGCCACTGACTTTTCCAAAATGATAACTTGTTTCCATATTCTGTCCGGTATTATGGCTTAATACCGACACAGATATGGCTTTTGCAGCATGAGTGTTTCAATGACATCTGGTCAGGTCAACATATTCTCACATACAGTTTTTGGCGGAGAGCGTGTATCTCATCTAGACCGCCCCTTGCGGTGCCAATATATTCATTCATCACATATATTTCGATATCTTGTATTGCCAAAATTTTCAGAAGATAAGTCAGGCCTCTGGTTGAAGAATATCAACCTTAGTATCATAACGTCGGACCGACTCAAAAGTGCCTCTATGATCTCTTGATGATAAAAAAGGAGAAAAGAATTCAAGAAGACCGTGTCATTGCTTTACTATACTTACTTAAAATCAGCTGTCTGATTTTTAAAGATTATTATGGCATCGGGCTGTCAACGAGGCCAGGCATTATGGCTACGGTAGGCTCTACAATCCGCAACACGATGATGATATCCTATTGACGACATGTTATACAGTAAGTCTAATGGTGATGGGTCTGTCTATTTTATGTGCTTTCAGTCCCATGGAACTCCAGTTTAGTAGGCTGCATATTGGCACACATCTTGTTCAACGTTAAAAGTTCTTGATAATCGAAATTTCAGAGAGAAATATTGCCCAAATCAAAGACAGAGCTTTAGACACGTCAATGAGACCCAATAGCAGCTGCAACGAGTGCTCTGGAAGAACAAGAAGTCACCACTCGGATATCAGAGTCCTGGGGTGTACTTTCAGTAGTCGGGGAATCCAGTAGTGTAAGCGGAGACGATTTTGAGGCTTCTGGCCAAGAATTGTATAGACATCTAGCTCGTCCTGGTCATCGGACTGGACTGTTTTCTAAAGATCATGATAGTACTGTGATAGGACTACACTCAGATGCCTTGAAAAGATACAAGCTTCTATAACACCATATAGCATTATACAATCACCCATCTCCAAGCCTCAAAAGGCTAATAGCAATATCTCGGAGCCTTGCATGTATCCATTGAAAACCACTCCCGTGCCGCTCCCATATTCCGAAAACGGGAGTTCGGGTCACTCGCGAATCCGACTGTCTCAGACATGAAACTGCCGTGTCACCAAATACAAGGGCAGCTGCATTTCCATTAAATAAACTCATGATAGCATGTGAGACAAGTGCTGAATAAAGTTCAGTTGACAGACAGCACGTCCATGCTACGTTAGATATTTTACCAGGATCAAGGGACGAGACGCACCCTTGGTTAGAGTTTGTGAGGTTTCAGGGGAGGATATGCTTAAAATGTCAGGGTCTAGTGATAAATTGTGTCAGATGTATTTATGCATGTCTTGACTCGGGGCAAGTCTTGGCAGATGAATTTACGAGTCTTTGTAATTAATGCGTGCAGGTTCAAGCCTCTATTCGCACTCTGTACGGCTTTCGCCTACGGGACAGGGGATGTTGAAATTCGGTAGATGAAATGCCAAGAGTCCCGCCAGGTCGCCGAATTCACGCCTGCCCCGTCATGAAGTTGCCGGTGTATTTATCCGTGATGAGATGCTGAATAATGCACCTAAGGTTATGAGGTTGAGTTGAGATTGGTGCACGCTGATTATCCCATATTACTGCTATTCTCCTAGACAGCCATATTGGATGTAGTGGCCTTCGGCAGATGAATTTATGCCGTAAACGATGGAGGCCTTCAGACCATGCCAAGCCATGAAAGGTCTAAAGTCGTACCATTTACCCATTGCGCGTTTGATCGTTAGTCATCCTGCAATACTCTTGACTTCTCTTGAAGTGGCCCGGGAGGATCCATGACTCTTTGCTCGGAATCACCCTAAGCATCTCAACACTTGAAGCCGCGCGGCTGTTGTCAAGTAGAGTTGATTTTGGCATTATATTCAGTACGGAGAATTAAGGGGCCAATGGAGCAAAAATCAAAAGATTTACGATCATAACCGTTGCTGAGGACCATGGTGATACTCTGACACCCAGTAATACGTCTTAACATATTCAAAATTCTGGCAGTCTATTACCTTGATTTATTTGACCAGGATATCAATAACTTTTCCCAGGTCAAGTGATATACAAGTCACAATAACAGAGTGGTTGATACTGTGATACTTGCTCTTGAACATTGGTCAAACCCCAACTTGGAGGGTCCACGATGCAAATCTTCTTGCTGGTCATAAAGTCGATATTATCTATAACGTTTCTCCCGTAACTGTGAATGTGAGAGGTGAACTGAAACATATAGGGATTGGGATGGACTCAGTGAGTATGGAAGGGCGACAGTGAAGACCATCTGAGAGCCTGTTCAAGTCAACAGGCTGTGTTTACCGAGCAAAGCTACGCGATATGGGTCCAGAAGGCATCAGGGTTGATCTACAAATGATTCACATATTTAATGCTATGACAATAACACGATCCAACAGGAAATGCTCCAAGATTCTCTTGCCACTGGATGAGAAAATAGCGCTAGGCAACAGCAAGCGTTGACGCGAAGTCTTTCGCCCCCACGAAGACATCGCAACGATCGTCCATCAAGACCTCAAACAAGTAACAGCCGACTAGTGGTGAACGAACTTACAAAAGATCCGTTTGCTTAGCCTACCTTAGTCAATTGACTTGGTATCTATCTCGGCATAAGCTGAGTGAATCTCACTGCGTCGCCAATGCTCGTATAGTCCACATGTCGGGATTCAGGGACAAATTGGGCTGCAATTGCTGACAACGCATTGTTTTCCGTATCTTGCATCTTAGCTAGTAATCGCGATGATCTCGTGATGCAATCAAGAGATAAGCGTCAAAAAGTCCAAGCTCCTGCATTGCTGACTCGCGAAGGATGCCACAATGGTAGGGTGTTACTGGGAGTGGACCTATCGCATGTAAGACTTTAAACTCTCGTCCAGATATGCTTAAATGGACCTTTAATTGAGGCGTTCACTTCATGTTACGGTGATGTCACGGCAAAAGGAAAAATTAATTAGTGAGGCCGTGTATTATAGAGACATGTTCTATTGTCTATATGCGATATTAAATGAGATATGAGCAGTGCAGTTCTTTCCAATGATGCATCCAATAAATCGTAGTC